CCTCGGCCGACCACTTCGACGTTCCACCGAGCCCGACAGGTTTCCCTGCCGAGTACCCTCCTCGGCTAAGGATGCACCTAGGCCGAACGTTACTCACGTACCAACGCCGAGCAATCCTCGGCCGACCACTTCGACGTTCTACCGAGCCCGACAGGTTTCCCTGCCGAGTACCCTCCTCGGCTAAGGATGCACCTAGGCCGAACGTTACTCACGTACCAACGCCGAGCAACCCTCGGCCGACCACTTCGACGTTCCACCGAGCCCGACCAAGCAACCCTCGGCCGACCACCTCGACGTTCTACCGAGCCCGACAGGTTTCCCTGCCGAGTACCCCCTTGGTTAAGAACACATCTAGGCCGAGTAGCATACACCACCAGCATTTAAACCCAGCACAACGCCCCGACTCCCAATGGGTCGGGCCCATCAGGCTTTGGCCAAGCTACCTCCTACTTGCGTAAGTAGAACAAGAACCCGCTACGCACCATACAAGGCGGCGTCATCACTTATGGCCGATCTAACCGACCTCTCATTGGACTTCGACCCTCGAATGGAACAGGACGAGAGGGTCGAACCAATTGAAGACCGACATCCTATTGTCATCGGGCCGACCGACCTACACGTGACCTACCTGGGCGCCAATTTGTCCGCGATGGAAAGGCGCGAAATCGGACAAGTCCTTAGGAAAAACAAAGATCTGTTCGCATGGCGGCCGGCCGATATGCCAGGTATCGACCCCAATTTCTTATGCCATAAGCTCTCGGTTTGCCGAGAGGCGAAACCAATCGCCCAACGAAAGAGGAAAACGGGGGAAGAGAGGAAAAAAGCAATAGAAGGCGAGGTCTCTAAACTCCTAGATGCGGGGTTTATCCGAGAAGTCCACTACACTACATGGTTGGCCAATGTGGTGATGGTAAAAAAGCCAAACGGCAAGTGGCGGATGTGCACAGATTACACTAACCTGAACAAGGCATGTCCGAAAGACGCTTACCCTCTGCCGAACATCGACCGACTCGTCGACGGGGCGGCTGGCCA